TTTTTCCCCCTATGCTTATGATTAACAGTCACAGCTCACACTCAGTGCTATTAACACATCAGTTGTGGTGGTTGGTACCCAATCATGGAGGGTGGGGATAATGACATCTCACCAATGACCTAATGTCCTGGCTCCACCTTGCTGTAGCATTTGTTTTGTACCTCGTCGATCTCTAGTTGTGATAGTAGTTACTTCTTCCAGATGTTGGAACAAAGCTACTAATTGTTTCACCATAAGTGTAAATGTTGGATTTCCAAGACTCCATAGATCCCATATCCTCTTCATGTATCTCTGTCGCTGGAATTACTTGTTAGTAGCATTCAAAAAGCCCCATATTCTCATTCAGTTCAATTACATTTTATGTACAGCACCAATTCACAACAACAGTCGCCTCAAGGCGCTTTATATTGTAAGGTAGACCCTACAACAATACATATGGACCCAACAATCATATGACCCCCTTAAGCACTCTGGTGACAGAGAGAAGGAAAAACTCCCTCCAGCAGGAACAGGCTCAGGGAGGGGCGGGGCCATCTGCCGCAACCGGTTGGGGTGAGGGGAGAAAGACAGAAGACATTCCTTGTCTACTCGTGCCTTCTTGTTCCAGTAACCAGTGTGTCCTGGTTCTGTCACACCTGACACGGTATTTTTCGGACCATAAGGCGCACTGTCGATGAACGGGTCTGTTCACCGGATTATCAGGCGCAGTAGCGAAACAAAACAGTCAGATAAGTCAAACTTTACTCGACTCATTCTTCTTGCTTCCTCCACTTCTGTACTATTGATTCATTAATGTTAAATTCTCTGGCAGCGGCTCTATTCCCATGTTGTTGCAGTATATTAATGACTAACCTTCTATTGTGGATGGATTATCTCAGTTGTTCTCCTGACTGACGTTTGGTCCGTTTACAGCATCCTGCCATGCGATTGCATTTGTCTCTAACCATCGGGAACCCTCACGTTAACTTTTATCGAGTGGAAAAAAGTTAGCATTCATCCTCCAGCTTCGCTGTGTTTATGCTATGCTA